ATTGTTACCTGCTAGTAACTTTGTACTCAAACCTTAAAATCCAACAATACTGTTGTTACCTGCTAGTAACTTTGTACTCAAACCTTAAAAACCAACAATACTATTGTTACCTGCTAGTAATTTGTACTCAAACCTTAAAACCAACAATACTATTGTTACCTGCTAGTAACTTTGTACTCAAACCTTAAAAACCAACAATGCTATTGTTACCTGCTAGTAACTTTGTACTCAAACCTTAAAAACCAACAATGCTATTGTTACCTGCTAGTAACTTTGTACTCAAACCTTAAAACCAACAATGCTATTGTTACCTGCTAGTAACTTTGTACTCAAACCTTAAAAACCAACAATACTATTGTTAGAAGAGTGTCTAGGCAAAGAATTTGATCACAACCAGTTGAATATTCCACAGTGAATTTTATTCTCATATTCAAGTCATTAGAAATTGAAAGAGCTGAGCAAGACCACAATTCCAAATCATATCATCTGTGTAACATTTGTACAAAAGAGGCTTAAAAAGATTAACCGATTAAAAAATATCTTTGGAAAGTTTATGCATAAAGATGGCAGCACTAATTCACTTGCCCTTGGATACTCCTAATGATTATTAGTAACAAGTTTTCCAAATTTGAAAAAAAAAATCCCACAAATGATATGTAATGTTTTTTTAATGTCATCAGTTGTTGCACCAAAAGGTACATACGATGTTCATGTGCTCTATCAAAAGTAATGTAACAACATGGATGCCTTCCAAAACAGGAATATTAGTATAAAGAGCGGTGACATCTAAAGAGTAAAATATTAGTCTTGAAAGAAGTCCATCAGAGAAAGTACTTTGCAAACTGTCTAAGAATTTACTTTTGTTACTTGGACATACCTAACTGAGAACCACTTCCAATAATTGGGATATTTTCTCACATCATGTCACATGTTGGAACAGTGGTATCTATTAAAGATTTGTAAGTCTTTGGCAAGCTATGCTACAGAGTAATATGAAATGTCTAGATATTGGGATGATTTTCAAATGAACATCACCTTTTCTGAAAGTGACACATTTCCAAGTTCTGGTTGTTTTATGAGGGTTTCTTTCACCACAGAGAAACCTTCACATTGTAATTACCTGTTCATTACAACAAAGTCTTTGTCAGATGGTTTAATAATGACAGAATTGTTTGTTTTGGAAATTGTTTAGAACCTATTGTTCCTCAAGCACTATGTTTGATCTAAATTTCTTATTCTACATAGATTTGTAGCAGTACCTACATTTAACGATCTTAGAGCATTGGGTTTAACATCTTGGGCACTAAGCAGAAAATATGCATTAATACAGATATACTTTCTAGTTTCTTCTTATAAATATCAAAAACCTATTCATCTTCAACTAATTTTCTGTTCTTACTTTAATATAGTAAACTAATCTTGAGATAGATTGCAAATAAACATTCAAGTACACTTATGTAACAATAGTTAACTAAATACTGCATTAAATAGTTACTTCCCAAAAAGTTTCCATTTTGTTCAGAGTATAAGCTTTTAACTAAAATTCACATAGTTCCAGTACTTTTGATAGAATGGTACCATTTGAATTTATTTTTTTAGTTTTATTTCATTACACGTATAACTTTTCTATTAAGGTTATTAGCATTTTCAATGAAACTAACAGGGAAATGAATAAGGTAATTAACACTTTGTATGTAAGTATCTTTGTTTAAAAGTACTTAACTCAAGAAGAATGAAAGATAATTTATTCGGCAGATTTTGTGAATATACTCTTGTTCTTTTGAATATTTAAAAAGAGAAATGGTTGCTTTATGGAAACTGCAAGAGTCGGTTGTCGGTTGTAGGTTTCATTGCATATTAGATAAAACATACATTTAAACAATAAGCTACAATCATACAAACCAAAATCTTACCTATATAAAACAACACAGCTGAAATCAGGGTACTGTAAACATTCTGACACTAGAAGAAAACAAACAACTGCAGATTGTATAATGTTGTAATTTTTTAACATTAATGTTCTGTTTCAGGTTTCATCTTGTTTTAAAATGTATCTTTTAATTTATATTGTTATTAACTGTTATTTGATAAGTAGACTATGTTTTATGATTATTCATTTTAGTTAGAGCACTAACACTAACTACAAATTACTGATATGATTTAACTTCCTACTTAAATTCGGGAATTCAAATTTTAGATATGTTTTAGTTTATGTGGTCTACTACTACTTGTATGCAAAACATTATCTACGACCACCTTGTTGCTATATTGAAACTCTCCACAGGCAGAAGTAGTGCAGTTCAGTTTGGGTATATACAGGGTGGTCCAAAGTTATATTTCCTATTTAATATTTAATAACTAAGGAAATACAAGAATGCCCAACTTACAGTTTTTATTGTCATGTTATTTTCCGTAAAATGTCAACTGTGCAAGAAAAGGTTCAATGTGTCATTTGGCTTGCAGAGACTAAATCAGTGACTGTGGTGCAGTGTAATTACAGATGCCATTACAGGAAAGAAGTATAGGCGTTAGGGATATTGTGTATCACACACCTATATCAAACATCGTAGAGCTAAAGACCAGGGTAATGGATGCCACTGTAACTGTCGACATGTTGAAGCAAACGTGGACTGAAGTCAGATATCGGATAGACATGCTGAGAGCCACTAACGGTGCACACGTAGAATCCTACTGAAATGGTGATAAATACTGTCCGAGTTGGCTACAAGATGTTAAATACTGCATGGTTGTATTTCCTTGGTTAGTTAATTATTAAGTTTTAAAGTAGGAAAGATAATTTTGGACCACCCTGTACATTAAATAAATGAATAAAGTATATTAATTCCTACATTATATAGGGGCTTAGCTAATGTTATTTTCATATCACTGTAGCATTAAGTTAGGAAAAATAATTCTTCTTCCTCTAGTATACAGAAATCAACAAACTACTCTGATGTTATACTTTACCAGTTTTGCCTTTTATATTTATAGTTATATTTTCAGCATTTACCTATGAATAGATTATTTTTAATAATGGCTGGAGACAGCTTGAATAATGGGTAATGAAGAAAAACTTTAATATAAGTTTAACATAACAGCAAATCTACAACGTTTCGACAAGGTTTTGTCATCATAGGGTTGTCGAAACTGTTAAGTTTGCTGTTATGTTAAACTTATGTTAAAGTTTTTATTCATTACCCATTCAAGCCATCTCCAGCCATTATTAGTCTCAAAGTAGGTTCCTCGTCATCGAATTAGATTATATTTCTTGCTTGTTCCTTCTTTTGAGAGGGAAATTTTTACCAAGTCAGAATTGAGGTTGTAAAAAGCAGTAGTTAATATACTGAATATAAATTACTCTGTTACTCCACATTGGTACTGATTGTTGCCATCTATGAGAAATTTGGATTTGATTTTGTATAGCTGAATCAGAGGGTTGATTTAAATCTACAAATGTGGTTTTGCTATTATTGGCATTTTTTAATCTGTAACTTAAAATAGTATGTATAAACTCTTCATTTCAGAAGAACATTTTAATTAAATGATGCAGAATCAATTAACGGATCACAATAAATTAAATGATAAGTTAGTCTTCTGTTTATTTTTTTCTTGTAACTGACCTCTTCTGTTCGTATAAAAATAGTTGCAAAATGTTCAAGCATATTTATTTTGTTACATGAATTTTCTAGATGCTATTTCATTGAATATTTCCTCTCCATAAAAGCACTAACTGATCTAAAACTGTCATACCTTCATCTGCTTTTTGTTGTATGCTTTATTTTCCCATGTCTCTCAGCAGGACAGCAGTAAACTTACAGACTTACATTGCTAAAATTCAGGGTTCAATTGCCAGTAGTGGGCACAGCAGATAGCCAGGTATAGCTTTGCTCTCAAACAAATCTTTGCTAAAGTTCAGAAACATATTTATAAGTAAAAAAAACTACATATTTTTTGTAATTATCAAACTTGTATTTCATGATTCACGAGCTATGGAAATTTATTATAACTTCATTTTTGTATTCAATCTCACAGGAAAGTAATTATAGGTTTTGCCTTCATGGTTCCTGATGTTAGCTATAATGAAGCATACATCTCCTTTATATTCACACATCCTGAATGGAGAAGAGCTGGAATTGCAAAGTTTATGTTGTATCATCTAATTCAAGTAAGTCTTAAGTTACAAAAAATGTTTCACTGTTTGGTTCTATCAATGAGGTCGTGGAATAATTAAGTCTCATATACTTATATTTCTGTAGATAAAACATACTTAAAATACTTGATCTTTGACAGTAAGTAGCTATTCTCGTTCAGTGCTACTCTCTACATGCAAAAAACATGTTTGCACTTGCCACAAGTCTTGAATCTCCCACATCTGGAATTGACTGATTCCAATGTGTCTTACATGCAAATCAGCATGCAACAAACAAATAAATCATAAGGAATATTCAGTTAGGTTAATGTTATCATTTTGTTTTAAGACTTGAGGGTAAAGACACTGAAACTTAATTCTGTAAAAATTAGGCTTATCCTTCAGAAAGTATAACAATATTGTAATGATATAAATTACTTCTAGACCTATATGAATATCAATCCATTATTAAAAGTTGCATGAGAAATCTTGGATATTTTACATGTTATTGCACAACATGATCATGGAATGGTTTTTTCAACTAGCCAAGTTTCTTTGATAGTATTTTGGGTGATTTTGAAATAGTTTTTCAATACATTGTTTTAATGTGGTTAAACTATTCATGTTTTATTACAGCTTGTCTGTCAAATTTGAACAGAGCTAAAATATGGAAATGTATCCAATTAAATATCACTGAAAGAGATACATAGATAAAATATATTTAAAAACAGTTACATACCAAAAGATTAAACTAGGGTGACACAGTGGCAGATCTTTAGGCGAGGACTTTACTTTTATTAATTTTTTTTTTGATAAACCTTCAACTATTGTCTCAGTATTTAATGAAATTGAACCAATCCAAGATATACATATTTGGCCTTCATACAAATTTAATTAGTGAGCTTAAATTTATCTTAAACATTTCAGCTTTATTTACTAAATGTTAACTACTGGGCTTTAGAAACAGTTTACAACTTTTTCAGTGATTTGTTGCTGGCCCGGCAT